GCGGCCGACGCGGGTCCAGCCTCGCCGCTGCGAGCTCAGCAGAGATGGGGCAAGGGACGAGCCCCGCTCCCCTGGCCGGCACCATCCCCGGCGGCCGCCTGGCTCCCGGGAGCAGCCCGGCAGGTGCAGCAAGCTCGGGGGAGCGGCTGCCAGAGGCGTAAACAGCCGGGGGGGCAGAGCCGGGGCCAGGCCCCCCCAGGCAAGGCACCCGCCAGGGTTATCCCTGTGCCTGGGGCGGGGGCTGCCCAGACCGCATCGGGCAGTGCCGGGCCCCCTCGCTTCCCGCGTTTGTGGGGCCTTTGCTGCAGGTCCCGTGGCCCTGGAGCGCGGGGGTGCAGCAAGGCCTGGTGGGGGCTGTGGGGCTGCATGGGAGCTGAGTGCCCAGCTCCAGTGCCACTCCCCCTGCCACTGCCGTGCAAAGCCCAGGAGGGCTCAGGGCCTCAGCCCCTCTGCATGGAGCCCTTGCTCGCCCCCTGAGCTGTCCCCAGGCCCCCCCCGCACAGCTCGGGGGCAGGGGCGAGGGGTCCAGGGCTCTGCCCGGGACCCCTTTTCAGCTGAATCCCAGGGAAGAAAAATCATCACGTGGCTTCGATTTCCTCCTGACATCAGGGTGCGTTGCCATGGCAAAGGCTGGCATGTCACGTGATGCACTGAATGTTACATCCCCCCGCTTCCTCCTCCCGAAACCCCGGAGACCCCCACTTCCTGCCCCGTGACCGGCTGTGTGGTGGGCAGAGCGCGGGTCTCCCGGGAAGGGCCAGGGGAGCAGCGGGGAAGGGGCTCGTAGAGGCCAGCACCCGCCCTGGGGCGGGGGCAGTGGGGACAGGGCACCTGGGCCCAGGTGAAGGAGGAGAGCCCGGGGGCCTGGGGCGGGGGGCTGGGCCTTTGCCCAGGGGTGGGCAGCAGGTCGGGGACTCAGGCAGCGCCCGGCTGTGCCTGCAGACGGTGCCCAGCGAGGTGACGACGCAGGATGGGTATGTGCTGCTGCTCGTGCTGCTCTCCATCTTCATCGGGGGCACCCTGGTCCTGCTGTCAGGGATCCTGATCATCTGCCGCCGGTGCTGCGAGGCCGACCGCAGGCACTCCAGGTAAGGCGGGCACTGTGTCCCCGTCCCCCGCCTCGCCTGGGGCAACCCCCCTTGCTGCCCGTGCCCTCTGCAGTGCCCCTGGCTGGGAGAGACGGAGGTGCCCCCGCACCCCATGCTGGGTGCAGCCCGGCCCCCGGTGCCCACCCTGCCGGCGGTGCCCGGCCGAGCTCAGGAGTCTCTGTCGGGAGCTGGATGTGCAGAGGCGCCAAATGGAGCGGAAGGATTTAATCTCCCTGATTAGTGGCTCCGTTTCACCTAGTGATGAGCAGCCCGGAGCTCCCCTCCCCAGGGCACTGCGCCTGACCCACAGCCTGGCACCGTGCCTGCCCAGATCCCCTCTGCCCCCAGCACCCGCGTGCCCTGAGCTGCTCTGCCCCTGCCTGGTGCTGGCCCAGCCCCTCTGCTCTGCGCTGCGCAGGCCACAGTGCAGGGGGTGGGGGGGTCCATCACTGCAGGGCCCTTGGTGGACTGGCATGGGGGTGCCTTGGATGGACCAGCTGCCCCGGCCTGCCCCCTTGCTCTGTCTCGGCCTTCCCCCACGCGCCTCCCTCCCCCCTGCAGAGCCAGCGATGACCCCGAGAAAACCAACACCACCTACCTGGATGACTCTCAGCCTGCACAAGGTGAGTGTCCCCGGCCCAGCCCCACGCGGGGCAGGAGAAGCAGCTCTGCAGGGGGCAGTGGGGTCCCTGCATCCCCCCCGCAGCACCTCTGACCCCTCCACAGCCTCCCACCTGCTGCTCTGGACCCAGGCGGGATGTGACGGTCCCCGAGGTGGGGCGAGTTGGCCGGTCTCAGCCCAGTGCCTGTGTCCTTCTCTGGCTGGGATGGCTTGGCCTTGAGGGGAGTCAGGTCGAGCTCCCCCATTGCTGACCCCTGCCTTGCTCCCCGCAGATATCACCATCAAGGTGGACGACCCCGACTGCCTGTCGTCCTCCAGCTACCGGGATGTGGAGACCGAGCGTTTCCTCTCGTCCAGCTCCTCCACCGGGCGCCGGGTCTCCTTCAACGAGGCCGCGCTCTTCGACCAGAGCAAGAAGACCCAGGAGAAGGGGCGGAGGTACAGCCCTGGAGGGGTTGGCCGGGGCTGGGGGTAGGGGCTGGGTTCGTGGCAGGGCGCCCCCGGCCCGTGGCAGCTGGCTCAGCCCCTGGCCCGTGGCAGGTACACGCTGACGGAGGGGGACTTCCACCACCTGAAAAACGCGCGGCTGACCCACCTGCACCTGCCGCCGCCTGCCCTCAAGATCGTCACCATCCACGAGTGCGAGTCCAGCGAGAACAGCCTGGCCATGACGCCCCGCCTGCCTCCCGCCAAGCCGCGCCTCGCCATCTTCCAGGTGAGCCCCGGGCGGGGACGGCCGCTGCCCCGCGGTGGGGGCTTGGGCTGATGCAGCGCAACTGCTGACCACCCCCACTGCGATGCCGTCTCCCCCACAGCCCCCCGCAGGCGCCCTGCCCCAGACGGCTCTCACCAGCCACGCCATGTGCCCCAGCTCTGCCTTGCCCGGCGACACCTACAACTCCACCGTGGACACCAGCTTCACGGAGGCCAGTCCGTCCGCCTCTTCTGACTCGGGGGAGGGCCCCTCGGTACGTAGCCACGGCCCCCCTGGCTGGGGTGAGGAAAGAGGCTGGATGGGGCATCTGTTGTGCTGGGCATGGTTTGGTCCTCCCCAGAACCAGCTGCATTTCTACAGCACCAAACCTGGCCAAGGTCCTTGTAGCAGCTGATGGGCCCCAGCATGGGTCTCAGCATGGGATCTCCGGGGGGGGGGTCACTGAGAAAAGGGGGGCCCCCCTTACCCCACGTGCTGGGGGGACCGTGGAGCCTGGCGTCGTGCTCCAGGAGCTGCACAAAGGCACGGCGCCTGGGGGGCATCAGCCAGTCCAGGGGGGAGGGGGCACGTTCACGGCTGGCCGCCCACTGGGCGAGCTGGCATTGTCCGTGCCCGCTGGGCCGTGCTGCGCCCGTGGCTCACTGCCCCCCCTTTGCTCTCCCCGCCCAGTTCGAAGGCGCCGCCCGGGCTCCGAAAGGCGCTGGAGCTGGGGAGCCCCTGCCGCCCCCCGCCCAGGGCACCGTGCTGCAGTTCTTCACCCGCCTGCGCCGCCACGCCAGCTTGGAGGGCGCCAGCCCATATTTCCGCATCAAGAAGTGGAAGTTTGAGAGCAACCAGCGAGCGTCCAGCCTGGACACCAGGGGTAGGTGCCCACCAGGCCTGGGGCAGGGGTGGGTGCCTGGGGCGGGGAAGGCAGAGACCATCCTCTCCCCTTGCCCGGTGCAGGCAGGAGCTTAGCACAGCCTTTTCCCCTGGGATGAGGAGGGAACTGGGGGTCTGGGGAGCCCACCTGCCCCACACGCCTGTTGTGGCCAAATCCCAGCCCCACGTGTCTGCAGGATCCCGGCTGAGTCGTGCCCGGGGCAAGGAGACTGCTCTGCATTCAGCCTTGCTGC